TAAATCTTGCATCAACCGAGAGTATAAATGAGGAAAGATGTCTTTCTTGAATAGCCATCGCTTGAGCAATTTTCACATTGTTTCGGTTAAGGGTTTGCATGTGTCGTTGTAATGTTGCAATGTCATCAGAGGTTGCTGTCCCAAATAGTGATTTTGATATTTGTCCCACGAAGTCAAACAAGCCACGTTTGGATCTGGATGAGCCAATGAAGGTTTTTGGCCGTGGAAGGTGATTCTGTGGAAGCAGCTTATGAATGTCATGCACAGTCGAGTTAACTTTGGCCATTGTTTGGGTCCGGAGGGCATTTAGTGTTTTTAAAATGTGTTGTCCGTACTTACAATATGGGGAGTTGTTACAATAAAGTTCTCCAGGTAGGTATACTTTCTTTGGTAGTGGGATTTGAAATGTGTGTGTCCAATACTCCTGTCCGAGGTAGAGTTTCTGGTGTTGCTCAAATAGGATACCATAGTTCAAACGCTGGAATGTGGTAGCATTACCAAAGGGCACAATACCAAGAAGGGAGACAAAACAAATGATGAGGATTGTAGTCGAGAGTCCTGGGGTACCTACAGAAGGAAGTAAGGAAGTATAAGGAAATGGTCATGTATTCATTGTTGATATTAACACAATCAATATAACAATAACAACTTTTTGATCAACATGTAAGATATTAACAATGACACATAAGGAGTGGCTTAAAGAGCAAAGATAGAAGGAGGACTGTAGGAAAGGACAGGTACAGGATAGAACTTGGGACTAAATGTATCATCTACTTGAAACAAGTCAGTTTTGTTTTCTTCTTGCGAGCTAAACCCTGTTGTGTTTTGGTAAGGTGAAAGTCACGCACCATATCAGGAGGGAGGTTTTCTTCAGGTTCCCAAGTGCGCTCACTATAGTTACGCCATTTGACGCGGAAGAACTTTTTACCATTTCGGAATCGGTAGCGAAGAAGCTTCTCCGCATAGTATATTTCATCAGGAGTGTCAGGATGGGTATTTTGACTGGTTGTGGGTTGATTTGTTGATGTAGGAGCGTTGTGCTGAGTAGGCTGAGGAGTCTGACGTTGTTTATGTGGAACGGCTTCTTGATTCTCATGCGTAATGATTTGTGGTTCATTTTCTTGATGCTCTTGTGGAGGCACATGTGTGTCAACTCTTGGTTCAGCCCGGGGAGGGGGGTTAAGGCTAGGTCGATGGTCTGGGTTGTCATATGGCTTCAATCGGTTGGCGTGAATGAATGATTTAAGTTCTTTGTGATTTGCGCACCTACGAAGTTTGTACGTGTTGTTTGGTCCAATGGCTGATATATAGAATGGGCCATCCCATGGGTTGTGTAGTTTGGGCGAAAGACCAACTGGAACTTTCGTGGAATGCAGCAACACAGATTGTCCAACATAGAAATTTGGTGCCTCTTTTGCTTTTTTATCATATTGTTGTTTTTGTTTTTGCTGAGCTTCTTTGCTGTTTTCTTTCGCTATGTCCTTGACGATTTTGAGGTGTGACATGAGGTCACTGACATGAGTCTTGGCGTCTTTGCTGAGTCCTTCTCTTGGGATAAGCGACGTATCAAAAGGAAGGTTCATTTCTTTACCAAAAAGAAGATGGTAGGGTGACAGTCCAGATGATTGAGTGCTTGGGCTCATTCGGATTGCCATCATTACTCCTGGTAAAAGGTTGTGCCAATTTGTTTGTTCTGGATTAATATAAGTTCGAAGACACTGTGCTATTGTACTGTTCATTCGCTCACATGCAGAGTTTGTTTGTGGATGGTATGAACTGGTGAAATGCCTGGTAACTTGGAAGATTTCACACACTGCAGTCACTAGTTTACTAAGGAAGTTTTGTCCTCGGTCACTTATAATCACACGTGGAGCTCCATATCTTGCGAATATTTCCGAGAAAAGTACCCGTGCTATTTCTTTGGAATCCTGGGTTTTGAGGGGGAATGCCTCTGGAAATTTGCTAAAGGAGTCAACTACTAGCAGAATGTACTTATGACCATCAGCTGAAGGAGTGAGTGGACCAAGAATATCCATGTGTAAGCGAGCGAAGGTGTCCTCAACAGGCATATTAACTAGAGGAGCTTTTGGTAGATTGGTGTTTTTCTTAGCATGTTGGCAAGCCGCACAGGATCTTACATAATCTGCTACATTTTGGTACATTTTTGGCCAGAAGTATTTGAGTTGAATGGCTCTGTATGTTCTATCTATTCCTAGGTGAGCACCACCTGCAATGCTGTCATGGTACGATCGTAGTACGTCTTCACGTAAACATCTGGGGATTGAAAGTTGTTTGAGAATTGGTTGAGTACGTGATATTTTTTTCGAACGAGGTTGGTAGAAATGATATAGCACACCATCTAGGAAAACATAGTGATTGCTCTCCGAAATAAGTTTGTCTCTTTCTTGTTTTGATTCTGGTACAGTTCCTTGTGACAAGTATGCATACATTGGGCTAAAGTCAGTGCATTCACTTTGAAGTTTCCCAATATTGTCTAGAGTAGATATAGCACAAAGGTTTTGTGGTTGTTGGGTTTCAGGTTGAATGTCCTCGTGTGCATAGAAGAAAGTGGCTTGCGAGTGTTCATCTGTCTTTGAAACGCTTGCAATATTTGTACTGGGAAGAACGTCTTCAGGGTCAGGTGCATGTTTTGGCTGTTCTGGATAAGAACGTCTAGATAGGGCATCTGCCACATCATTTTTCTTTCCCTTTTTGTGGATGACAGTGAAATTGTAACCTTGGAGAAGGATGGACCATCTAGCTAAACGACCTGTATCATGTTTGACAGACTGTAACCATTTGAGAGCAGAGTGGTCAGTGAATACAATAAAAGGCTTGTCAGCTAAGTAGACATGATAGGTTTTGATACCCTCAATGATTGCAAGGCATTCTCTTTCAGATATAGAATAATTTCTCTCCATTTTATTCAAAGAACGACCACCAAAAGCTATGACTCTTTCCTTGCCACTTTCATCAAACTGTCCCAAAACAAAGCCTAAAGCTGAACCAGAAGCATCTGTAGTAAGGATGAAAGGTTTTGAGTTGTCAGGATAGGCTAAGACTGGTGGGGAGGTCAGAGCTGTTTTAAGCTCGTCGAAGGCAGATTGACAAGTATCAGACCACTTAAACTTGGTTTCCTTACAAAGAAGAGAAGTCAGAGGGTTGATAATAGTGCTGTAATTTTTGATGAACTTTCTGTAATAATTGCACAGCCCTAAGAAGGATCTTACATCTTTGGTGCATTTGGGTATAGGAAATGATTTGACTGCATCTGTCTTGGTTACATCAACTTGTACACCATCTTTGGTTATTACGTGACCTAAATAATGAACTTTCTTAAGAGCAAAAGAGCACTTACTAGGTTTCAAAGTAAGACCTGCAGAGGCAAGACGAGTGAAGATTTGATGTAGATGGTTAATATGTTGTTCAAAGGAATTCGAGAAAACAAGAATGTCATCTACATAGACCAGACAGAATTTCCAGTTAAGACCTCTGAGAACCTGAGTCATAAGAGCCTGAAAACTAGCAGGAGCATTGACCAACCCAAAAGGCATCCTTTTCCACTGATAAACGCCGGTTGGTGTAACAAATGCAGACTTGTGAGCCGTTTCTGGATCCATTGGTATCTGCCAAAAACCTGATGCTAAATCGAGAGTGGAGAAGATGTTAGCTTTGGAGATTCCGATGGTATCAAAGACATCTTCAAGGCGTGGCAATGGAAAGGTATGTTGTTTGGTGACAGCGTTTAATTTTCTATAATCAACAGCGAAGCGCAGTTGGCCATTCTTCTTCTTAACCATAACAACTGGACTCTGCCACATCGAGGTCGACTCTTCAATAATGTTTGCGTCAAGCATTTCGTCAAGCTGGCGGTTCATTTCTGCATTGACTTCTGGTGACTGGCGGTAAAAACGCTGTCGAATTGGAGGGGCATTGGCTGTTTCAATTCTATGAGGTTGAAGTGAACAATTACCCAGTTCTGAAAGTTCTGTAGCAAAAACAGATCTATACCTATGAAGGAAAGCAAGAAGGGTTTGTTTCTGTTGTGGATCTAAATCAGAATTTGAAAGATCAAAGTCAATTGGTTCTGTTTCACTTTCCTTCTGGAATGGTTCACTTTTGACAGGTGTGTCGAGAGATGTTACTGTATCTGGGTTCACACTGCTAGCTGTAGCCACAATTGTGTTAGTGGGGAGGGTTATTGAGTGATCATTTGGATTGATGATTTGCATCCACTGAACATCATTGTGACAGGTGTCAATGAGACATTTTGCACCTGCGAGACCTTTTTCTGGTAAAAGATGGGAGGGTTCAAGTAATACAAGTGAGTTGAGTGGTAGATTTTGAACTTTAACTTCTATAGAAGCAACAGATTTGGGGCTGATGGTAGTAGATTGACAGATATGAGCAAAACCCGACTGCAAATCAATAGCAAAGGCTTGATGGGTCACTGGGTCTTTGAGAGCAAGAGTGTTTTGAGCAAGATTGAAAATTGCCTCATGTGTTTTCAGAAAATCTATGCCAATGATAAGTGGTTGATGGAATTTCTCAAAGACCTGAAAATCATGTGTAAATGTCACACCATCAAGAGAAATAGGTAGGGTAACTACACCGAGACTACAATGTCTTTCACCACCAACAGCTACTGCTTCTGTCACACCAGTTGACTGTAACTTACACCTATCAATACCTAACTTTGTTATAATAGATGAAGCAACACACGAGATAGTTGCACCCGTGTCAACTAATGCTTGTATGGGAGTACCATAAATTTCAACACTGATTGTGTTTTTCAGAACAGGCATGATCAAATTAACTGATTCTTGTGTTTTGTTTTGGTCAGATAGAATGGGGGCATGAAATTGAGGTTGAAGGGGTTGAGTTGATTTTGCGTTGGTGCAATTGTCATTGAAAGAGTTAATTGGTCCATGCTCTGTAGGAACTGTTAGTGAGGAACATGCATTGTTAGTGACTTTGTAGTGCCCATCCTTACTAAGGATAGGCACGCACCCCTATTGGAATGAGTTGTTTTGGGATTGGTTAGTTGGGTGTTGTGTCTGTGTGAAGTTTGGTCTTAATCGTGTGCCACGGCATACATCTTCAAAGTGCGACCATGTGTTGCATTTAGAACAAAAATGATTGTAAGCAGGGCAAGTATATCTTGGATAACAAGACTTACCACACCCAGAACATGATCGTCCTCTCTGGCTCGCATCTGGAGTCTGTTGATGGGGCTGCTGCCACTGTGTCTTTCGAGGCTGCTGCCATTGTTGCTGTTGGGGTTGCTGCCATGGTTGTGGTGGGGGCTGCTGCCATGGTTGCGGGGGAGGCTGTTGCCATTGTTGCGGGGGAGGCTGCTGCCACTGTTGCGGGGGAGGCTGCTGCCACTGTTGCTGCGGGGGCTGCTGCCACTGTTGCTGAGGTCTTTTGTTTTTGTTCTGTCTTTTGTTTTGATTGTTGTACGGTGCACTATTCTGATTGTGAACCGTGGAGAATGAGCACAATTCTTGCTTTAGAGACTCTTTCAGTTCTGACGCAAAGGCTTTAAGTGTAAGTTCAGACACAGAGCCTGTATCCACGCAATCAAGTTCCGCCTTTGCAATAATTATGGCTTCTCGTAACGCCTGAAAAGTTTTGGGTTGTTTGCCGATTATTCGGCTTTTGATACTGTTCAGTAGACCGTTCACTGTAAACTGAACTTTGTAAAGTTCAGGAAGATCATGTCCTAGAGCGACTTTCTCTGCTCTGGCCAAGTACATGTCCGTGGTTTCATTAAATTCCTGTTTAATTCCCATGAGGTTGAATGTTGCCTCGTTTGGTGCGAACCTGTCTTTCAAGGATTTTTTTAGAAGTTGCATGTTTGATTTTTCTGCTGACGACAGTGTATGGTACCAGGTGGCGGCCTGGCCTTCAAAATTACAGCTTATGGCTAGTAGTGCTTGGGCATCACTTTCGTTGTGGAACTTTTGCCAGTTTTCAAAGTTTGCCAGCCAAATATGGACATTGTCAGAGCCATCGAATTTCTTTAGTTTTACACCGGTTGCCATTCTTTGTTGTTGCTGTTGCTGTTCTTGATTTATTTGTGCAGATGGTTCTGCTGGAATTTGGTGTGGTACTTGGTTGTTCTCACTTTCGATATTGTCCAGTTCACTGTCTTGTTGTTGCTGTTGTGTTGTGACACTGGGTTGCTGTTGTTGTGTGGTTTCACTGGGCTGTTGCTCTTGGTTATTCTGTAGATTTTCAGATGGTTCTGCTGGGATTTGGTGTGGTACTTGATTATATTCACTTTCGATATTGTCCAGTTCACTGTCTTGTTGTAGGGTTTCACTGGGTTGTTCTTGATTTTCTAAAATCTGACCTACTTGTTCTGACTGAACGGAGTTATCTATAGGATCATTTGTTAAGATTTCAAGTTCACTTGTTTCCTGTGATGGTTGAGTGGTGATTTGATCTATTGGGTTACTGCTGGGTTGATCCTGGGAATCACCATATAGCACATGTAGCACTTCTTGTGAAAGTTGTTCTGTAGGGGAGTGGTTGATCTGGTCTCTGTTTCTTAGGTTGTAATTGATTGGTTTCGTCTTCATTGGGATGAACCTTTTTCTTCCACCATTTGTAACGGGGGATTTTTGTTCGACTTCTGAGTTGAAAGATTCTGAAAATATATGACCAAGATGAAATAAATTTCTACGATGTTTTATTCTTGACGTTCCAGCATAAAGTCACAATTATATAATGTATGATAAAAGATGACATATAAAGACAAAAAGATAATAAACAATGAGTCTTTGCAACATACGCAACATATATATAATGACCACATCACATAATACATAATGAGTCGTTGCACAATGCAGATTGGTGCAACTTATATATATAGACAGCATATTAATTAACCTTGACCTTACATGTGCATGTCATATCATATATAATATAAACATTATACACATTAATAAAATAAACGATCAAAAGTGGGGAAAACTAACCAAAATGGTAGAGATCACTTTGCCATGAAAAGGTACACAATTTTATGAAGACTATTTAAAATGTTTTGATAGGAATTTGCTTGGTCATAATAAATTTCAATAAGATTTGATAATTTGAAATGATTTACAAAATCTTAAATTTATGAAAAGAATAAGATGATGCTTGCACATAGATGACATGTACTTAAGCTTATAGACTATATACAAAAACACTTGGTGCACATGCACTATACCATAACAAAACTCAGATGTTCGAAATAAAATGATAATCATGAAAAAGCATTTAAAATACATGATGCTATAGAAATGTTATATGCTTACAACATAATCCTTAAATGATCGTATGAGAATTGAAAGGAATATTTATCGTTTAACAACAAAACATCTTTTCGCAGGTTCGACTTCATGTTGGGCGGAAGTGTAAACAGAGAGTAAATTTAGAAACAATCACGTGACCCGAAAGTTTCCGGAAACACAGTTAACAATATTACAGAATTTTCTCAATTTATAAAAAAAAAACATTATTACAGAACCAAACCAGGGTTTTTGTAAAATATACCTTATTCAAGCCAAAATATGATAATTTTGATATTAAGAAAAGTCGTAACACATTTCTATGTAATTTCAGGTAAAATACAAGAAAAATACCTTACAGTAATTTGTTCTATAGTATAAGTAATGAAATGCATAAAAATAATAAACCACATCTGACCATAACAGTTTGAAATTATTAATGACATTTATAACACAATTATTAAAGTATATAAAAATAAGTGTCCTACCTGAAAATATATGACCAAGATGAAATATTTTTCTACGATGTTTTATTCTTGAGGTTCCAGCATAAAGTGACGCGCTGGGTACCCGACGTAAAAATTAACTTGGTCAAGGTGAGGAACACAAAGGGAATTAATTAAGAAAACATTGAGTAAACTACTACATTTCCCTGTGGCGGGCCTCATTAAAAAAAGATATGTACAAAGCCGAGAGGACAAAGACAGGTAATCCGATGGGTTGACACTGATTGAGTCAATCCGACATCAAATGAACTTCTTAATTGAATTGCGTAATACTGCGTAAAAGTGTTTTTGGTAAATAATTGTAGATGTCCTCATGACAGCCGAAAGGTGATAATATTTGAAAAACAACTTAATTTTCTTACATTGAGATACAAAATTCAAAAAGCCATTGTGACATTGTCTGTAATTAAATAGGAAATGGGGAAAGAAATGCGATCGTAAAAATAAATGAATCACACAAAGATATTTAAAATGAGAAATTATAAATCAATGAAATTATTTTAAAATAAATTTTAAGATATTGAGAAATAAGTAAATTTATCAGATAGGTCAATTTGACCTTATGATACTATTAAGAGGCTTTGTATTGCAAACTCTGAAACAGATGAATTCCTACATTTTTTTTGAATGATTGATTACATTTAGGATATTAATTATTTTTAAAAAATTCATCAATATTTTTTATCTCTTGCTAATTGAATTGATGGACTTGCCAATTATCCGATTAACCTGATTAAACCTTCTTCAACGCTTTTGCCAAATACTCCATATTTGCATAAGCAGAATTTTGTTTGCATTCATTTTTATTGGTTTTTTCCCTAAAATATTAACGTTACTTCAATCTCAACTATTGAGAACTCCATTCTCTCTTCGATTCTCCTGAAATGTTCAACTGAGAGCTCAAATATCTGCTTGATTCTGGAGAAAAATGTGCCCTTTGCTGATCTTTGGGATGAGTAACCATTTCTTTTCTACACTACTGTCAGATATAGTCAATATAACAATAAAATATCGGACAAATTATTCTCAGTATCGAGTTTACAAAAGAGATGTGCCTTTTAGATAAGGACTCTATTTCCCTAGCTGTTGATGTGTGTTTCTTTTATGTTCATACCCATCTCTTCTTACTCATCACAGACTGGGGCCACTGGATGCGGTATCAATCCCGCGAGGACCCTAGCTCCAGCAATTTTCCACAATGCCTGGTCTAATCATTGGGTAAGTTTTCCCAATTCGGTGTGATGCTTTGTAAAATTTTTATGTTCTTTGATGTAAAAGGAAATAATAGCCCCAAAAAGTACTTTTAAACATTTTTAGAATAAAAATATACTACATTATAGCTTTTTCTATCGTGTTATTTTTGTTATTCTCCTTATTGTTGATGATAAATACGAATACAGTTTATTCTCTGTTTGTAATATTCATAACAATTAATTGTTGAGAAAAGTAAAGTTTCAAGTCAAAGTATTCACTTAAGAAAAAAAGCTATTTTGCATACTAAATCTATTTTTCAAATACTATTACTTTGATTTTGAAGACTGATTAACCTTTCTAAATGATTACCTGTGTTTGCTTCAAAACAATACCACCCCCTATCAAACTGATAAAATCTACACAAAAACATTTGGAATCACGCATTTTAAAGTTCTGTGAGATTTTGCCATATTTACAATACTTATTGTTTTAGTATTTCTAAATTACATCAATCTGAGTCATGTTTAAAATTAAATCTTATTCACAATTCGGACATCGTATTTTAACAGATATTTTGGATTGGGCCAATACTTGGTGGAATTATCGGTGCATTCACTTTCGAGTACACTCGCGATTGTTCGATACAACTGAGGAATCCGCAGAATGAAGTCTCGAACCAATTTGTATACAGTCTTGGAAACAAAGATGACGCTGCCAGCAGTTTTTCGCTCAATACTGAAGTTCCGGGCGAACCGAACGAAATAATAGACGAATTATAACAAAGACTCTGTTGAGAAAGAACATACGGAAGAGAAATCTTTGTCAGTTGTCTGTTATTGCCTACTTTTTATTTCTTTTTCATCCAAACTTTGAGGAGAGCGTCAATTTTTTTTATGCGACTCTCGGCATCATTCTCTCATGCTTCAAAACTTTATGATAAATGTGACTTCAACATTTCAGTCGTCAATTTCCCTTACTTATGAAGCTATATACCCTTATCGCCTGCATAAGTCTCTTAGTTGATTCGATACGCAAGAGCACACTCTCCATATGAAAAATTTCTTAAACGAGGCAAGCTATTGACAAACAAATTCATGAAAGAAAAACAACAGTCTCATTTAATGTCACCATTTCGTAAATTCTATGGTCGATACAATGACATCAATAAATACAATCTATCATAGAGGCAAATGCTGACCAACATTATTAGTACTATCATAAGACAAAGACATGTAGGTTTTATTTTTCTATTGTAAAAATACAAGGATAAAAATGATAGAAGAAATACTAGTATGCGAGTATTACGGAAGCGTATTAGTGCCACTTGGACACTTCACTTTTTTTAATTTCTACACTTTAAAGTGTAAATTTTACACATTAATCTGTAAAATTTACACTTTAATCTGTAAAATTTACACTTTAATCTGTAAATTTTACACTTTAATCTGTAAATTTTAAACTTTAATCTGTAAAATTTACACTTTAATCTGTAAATTTACACTTTAATCTGTAAATTTTACGCATTAATCTGTAAATTTTACACATTAATCTGTAAAATTTACACTTTAAAGTTTAAATTATACACATTAATCTGTAAATTTTACACTTTAATCTGTAAATTTTACACTTTAATCTGTAAATTTTACACATTAATCTGTAAATTTTACACATTAATCTGTGAATTTTACACATTAATCTGTGAATTTTACAGATTAATCTGTAAATTTTACGCATTAATCTGTAAATTTTACACATTAATCTGTAAATTTTACACTTTAATCTGTAAATTTTACACATTAATCTGTAAATTTTACACATTAAAGTGTAAATTTTACACTTTAATCTGTATATTTTAAACTTTAATCTGTAAATTTTACACTTTAATCTGTAAATTTTACACTTTAATCTGTAAATTTTACACATTAAAGTGTAAATTTTACACTTTAATCTGTATATTTTACACTTTAATCTGTAAATTTTACACTTTAATCTGTAAATTTTACACTTTAATCTGTAAATTTTACACGTTAATCTGTAAATTTTACACTTTAATCTGTAAAATTTACACTTTAATCTGTAAATTTTACACTTTAAAGTGTAAATTTTACACATTAATCTGTATAATTTACACTTTAATCTGTAAGTTTTACACTTTAATCTGTAAAATTTACACTTTAATCTGTAAAATTTATACTTTATTTGTTTATTCACACATTTTTAAGCCAACAGACCATCTTTCGTGTATGATAAAATTTAATCCTAATGTTTTATATTAAAGTAAAACTTTTCTTTGAATATAAAGTGAAGAGCATATCAAACAAACATGCACATATTCCCGAACACAGGTGCTTAAGGACCCCCCCCCCCCCAATATAGAATCCAGGGCCTGTT